TATTAGCACCCATCCCTGGTGCAGGCCTGCATATTTTATTTTAACTTTTAGTCACTATAGCGCCCAAAACTGCCCTGCCTGTTACTCACTGCCCTGCCTGTTACTCACTGTAGCACCAAAACTGCCCTAGCACTCTTTAGGGTACATTCGAGTACAATGTGCATGTAGCTCACCCGGGTCGATGTCTCAGTGGTGGGAACAGGTCACATGCATACATGTGTTTGTTTGTTCATTTCAAGAAACGAACAAATTTGGCGGCTGGACAGCAAAAATCTTGAGCGAACCCAAAAATCCACTTATTTCAAGTAAAAAGGTCATTATTTATTTAGTTAATTTCAACTTTAGAGGCTGTAATTCAAGCCAAACTTTTTTTACTTTTTCAACTTACTGCAAAGCAGTAAATCTCAAAGTTAAGACCCAGTCTGAAATGGGCATTTTGTACAGACATCACGTGAGGATCGTGATGGCCCACGGTTGAATGTTCGATTAGTCCGGCTGTCATAGCTAACGTCTTCTTTTTACAGAGACGATCCCAGTGAGCTACTTGAAGGCACCCTATGATTTATTATTCAGTGAATAATACACTGTAATACAATACAGACCCAGATGCTGATGGGGTAATTATATTGAATGACAGAATTAAAAATCAAAACGATAATAGCAGGTGGTAACTTTGCTCAGTTACAAAACTTAAAAGAATAAAAACAGTATAACAGCTGTTTCTAAACTTAATTTTTTGGCTCTATTGTGTTCTGAAGTTCAGTTTAAGTAAACAGGGTGCCCCCTACAAAATGCAACAGTTGTGATTTTAGGAAACTAAAATGGGATTGTAGGACAACCTAATATTGTCATGATAAGTTTGGTATTGCAAGATGTGCTTGGGCATTAGCTTCAATATGACACCAATTGTAAGTTGATCCTTTTCCAGATGCCTGAACATTCATTGTTTGACTAAAGTAGTCGGAAATGCCCACTACTGCACTTTAGAAGCATTGGTTATCTGGATTTCACATCTAACATCAAAATCAATGAGCTGCTTCCAACAGAAACAAAAACTCGATTGAATCTTAACTTTTATCACTCTTAAAAAATTTCAGATCAATCATATCAATAGTTATTTAGAAGTCTTTTTGCCTATTCTCCAAATCCTTCCACATGTCCAAATGTGGCCATTGTCATTTTATCGTACATCAGTTAAAAAAAAGATTGCTCTCAGCCAACATGAAAGAACATAAATTGCAATTGGTATCCAATCAAAGCTTATGGTCAAGTGCACTATACACTACCAAAGTTTATATCATCAAATTTTCTTGATTGTTCATAATTACAGTTTTTGAAACTGATGCGTTTTTGGAGGGACACCTATAATAGCTGTTGAAATGCTTTTTGGCAGCCAGGGGAGAGTAGGATTCTCAAAGGGAAGACAGTGGCGTACATATAGCGCATTTGGGAAATAAACTCTTCATATGTTCATACACCGCACAACAAACATTTCTTATTACAGCTTCAACAATAAAAATTTCTCGCTGATAGGAAATCAGATCTTCATCATTCAAACCTAACTATGAGGTGTTTCACGTGAAAGGGGCGGGGGGGGGGGGGAGGACTTCCAATAATGACTTCTTTTATCAAGTGGTATTAAATTTGTGTTTCTTTTTGTTTAGAAGTTGTGCACCATGTTACACATACATTTTGTTAAAAACATGGTTAGATTATCAACTATTTTTTTTTTTCATTCTTGCAAAATGTTTCATAGAATTCTCTGAGAAGTTGCAGTTGTAAAGAGGAGAGAAATAAAATCTGATAACGCTTGTCCAAAGCTTCACAGAAAATCCTGTTGCCGACCAAGATTTGGTCATTAAGAGAAGCCATAATTTGTGTCAAGTTAGCATTTTAAAGAGATTTTACACTTTACATCAAACATTTGTTTGAAAGTGATATTTATTAGAGCATATGCAATACAGCAACAGTAACACCCTTGAGAAATTAATTGCCATATTCGGTCACATTGCAATATTTGGTCTTTTTGTCAGGCAAAACAACCTACATAATGACACACTAGCAGGGCAATTCATCAAGGCAACAGAAAGGGACACAGGGGAAAAAAAGTGCCTGAGTGAATCATAGAAGACCAAGCTCTCGGTGAAAGATTTACTCAAACAGGAAAGAGGTACAGCATATAAGGGCAGCCAGCCTCCAGACTGTTATGATGGAATAGAACCCGTGTTTGTATGGTTTAAAGACATGCAAACTTAGTTGACAGGAAAATGAACCAACTTAGGTATTGACTAGATGCGTATTATGATTTGCAATGTGTCAGGTCACAAAGACAATTAATCCACATGACAAGAACAACTTTGCATGAGGGGATTCAAAAGTAGAGGTCAACAATTGCTGTGTTATTTAGTTTTCACCAAGGAGATAACGCATTTCTCTTCAGAGATATTTTCTCTTCACAACGATTAAAAAGTGTGGCACAGTCTTACCTTTAAAGTGAAACCAGCAACTGGGGCAAGCTCATGTTTTCCATGACTCCCGGTCTTCATTCTGTGCATCATCAGTGACAGAAGATGCTACTGAGACGAGAGAAGCTGGGGCTATCCTTGAGGGCTGGATGACTCCTGACTCCTTGGCTATGGAGATGCTCCTCACAGAGTACAGGCAATCATTACTGCTCCTCCAGTGAAGGTTAATGAAGCACGTCTATTGTCTCTGGGTCCAGCACAGGAGTAAGATGCCATGGGTATAGAAGACCCGTAGGCTTGCTAAAGTGGGGAAACATTGCTATGGGTGCCGAGTCCTTGGGTATAGGTGACCCGTCGGACTGTCCAGTGAGGATGGGCCAAAACAGGGATCTTTATTCACTGAGTCTCGTAGGTGATGTCTTGCACTTCACCACATTCGCAGCAGATTCTCCAAGTCTGCACTTCAGGTCCTGCTTGTCCTTGTAGGATTGTAAAAGGCTGTGAATACTGATTAGTGTGCCCTTATAAAATAGCATAGCTAACCACCAAACAACTGGCCAGTGGTAAGGTGGTCTTCCAACTGACATTCAATGTGGCACAATGCAGAAGTTTCATTGGAGTCAACATTGATTTGAATTTGTTGACTCTCAAGCAATTTGATCGTCAGAGAAAGCAAATCCCAACTTAAGTGTCCTACATGTATATATTTAGACCTGTTCTGTATACCAATACTCTAATATAGTAAAATGCCATTTTTAATATATTTTCAAAGAGTATGGTGGCATATTGATCTCATTTAATCAATGTTCGCAGTAGCGTTAATCCTTTATCATTGCCTTCAGTATTATTCCCATGCAATATTCACATGCAACTAAACTTTCAAAGTTAACCTGATGAGTATAAAGTATTGACTCAGACATATTCAAGTTGACTATGAAAGGACAATAAATATTACCATATTATGCTATGAATTATCAATAACATATATGCGTATGAGTAATAACTTGAGTACTATATTATTCAAACATTTCCAGAGTTTTCAAATTTAAAAAAATAATTTCACATTTTACTGGTATTTTCAATGGTTTTTGATAGTCGGTAATTGAAGAAAGTAAAATATTTATGGTTAGAAAGTTGGCACATGATCCATATGTGAGAAGAATTAGATTACCATTTTTATTTGTCAAGGTAGGTCTATAACGTGTTTAAATGAAATAATCAGAGAACAGTTTCCAAATTATATTTCGATGAAACACTGAGGCACACAGA